TGTCTTTTCTCTCTTCCCCTCCTTGCTACTTTTGTAACTTGCACTTACTATACTATATCATATACATTACCTGGTCTCCCCACACAAGCTGGAAGTTCTTCAATACCAGAACTGTCATGCATTTATAAGCCCTGATACCTAATATAGTAACTGACGATATAGCATCACAATTAAAGAAATATCATTTATTGATTTGCTCAGAAAACATGTATTAACCAATTAATTTGAGACTGGCAATCACCAAGGAGCAAGGAATGCAGTTATTAAGACAGTCATAATCCCTTCTCTCAAAGCATTCACACTATGAAACCAATCAACAGAACTAATGCATTATGACAAAGGGAGTGGGCTACACTGATCCAGTGGGACCCAAGGATAAACAAGGCAGCTGAGAATGTCAGGAGTCACCTTGTTCAACCACTTTGGCCAGCTTCTCCTGTTGGCATCTCCATTAGAAAGACCTCTTGAACCTGCCCACAAAATAAAAGCCTAAAACAGAGTGCTAATAATAGGGCATCGTTTCATCAGTTTGTTCTGTGTTGTCTTCTGAGCTCTTGTTTTCTGCATCTCAATCATATTCTTTACTCCTAAATGAGCTACAGGGGAAGCATGGACTGCTGACTCTTGACACATGCACAGACCTTAATATCCCTACAGGACAGTACAGATAAGTGCGTACAAATGTAGGAAAAATGTAAGATGAGATAAAGATCATTAGATCAAACAAGACGAGCTACCCTCTGAAAGATTACCTTCTATTCTTTTTTAGTTCTTTGTTTATGAACCAAGAAAGGAGGTTATCCTACACAAAAACAATTGTCTGGATAATTTGTGAATTAATAAATATATCATATTCTGTCCTGTATCAGACCTGTTAAACTGCTGTTGCTCAGGCAGTGATGCTTTGGCCTCCACTGCTTATCTAACTGCTAGTCCGTCTTCAGATCTAGGCCTCCATCTTTTCACTCCACCATCAGCCCCACTGTCAGTCCTTTCCCGCATGATCTCACAGGCCAGGGATTCACCCTAAGCTGGGAAATCTGTCTGTCTAGATTCTTTGTCTCTTTTGCAGTCCATTGAGGTTAAGACCCTTGTCTTGTGTGCCAATACAGCTAATGATGAATATAAAATAGGTATAAAAACTATGCGATAAATCTGAATTATATAAAGAATTACATACTTATAAAAAAGATGTGCACTTATCATGACTATTAAAAGCACCAGCTCTGAAATCAAATATCTAAGATCATGACTCACTGTACACTTTCACTACCTATGATCTTGGTCAAGTTATTTAGCATCACCACTCATTTCTCATTGGGAAAATTGACATAGCACAAGATATACTTCATATAATATTCTTTAGCATTCTGAATGAGCAAATGCACAAAAAGCACTTACAACAGCATCTGGCACACAGATTCAAAAACGGGAATTAATAATATTATGACATACCTGTTTCTGTCTCCTCTTTCTTCACCTCCACCTCCAATTTATCTTTTTTCATGTATGTATACACACAGGACTAAAGGCAGATTTTAAAGGCCATGATTGTTTGATCGCACCATTATGTCACATTTTATATGAAGTTTCTATGATCTCTTCAGGGGGCAAAAATTGTTTTCAGAGAAAAGATACTGAGAGGTGATTCTAAGTCCTAGATTAAAGATATCTGCCTCAAAGGAGAGTATGTGCTCAAAGGTACTGGTTACTGAGAATGTTATTTTGCAAGTGAAATACCTTTTCAGAAACATTGCATTTAATTCCATTTTTTCTTTTTTTTTTTTCCTCATTGAGTTTATTGGTACATTTTAGGTATACAGTACAGTTACATTCATCATTGGGATCTTGTACCTTTATACGACAGGTCTTGGTTCTCATTTTTTCCCTTGTCCCTGCCCTCCCTTCAGCCCCTCCTGCCCTCCCCATTTGCAAACATTTTATTTCCATTTTCTCATTTTCTTCTATTTTTTCCTCTCCCTTATTACCTTTCCCCTACCCTTCCCACTTTCCCTACACCTTAAGCCCTTTTCTTCCTATTTAAGTTCCAGAATTATATTAAGAATCAAAAGAAGCTTGCAATCTATAAAATGTAGAGAAAAATATATTGAAATGAGAATCAGGGAATTAGATTCTATAAGTATGTCTTAGAGAAGTCACAATGAATCTGAGCCTTATTGATGCAAAAAATAAAGGAAACTGCTTTTAATGAACTGAAGTCTAAAAGTTCAGTGACTCTGGTGAGAGCAGACGAGACAATTATGGCAGATTTCTGTGATTTTATTGGATTGTTGGCTTTTGTTTGGGTGTTGTTGTAGTAGTAGTTGTTGTTGTTGTTTACTAAATCTTAAGATTTGAATAATGAATATGTGTTGGTAAACAAAAATAGGATTCTCACTGACTTTTTGTCCTATTGCTGTCATCTGGGAAAATACATTTGTGAATAATACGAGTAGTACGCTAATCTTAAAATGCTTTTAAATTGAGTAGTTTGTGCCTGTGTTTTAAAGAAACAAATTGTCATGGACTGAGAAATAAGAGAAGATTGGGAAAGGGCTTCCATAGGTACAGCAGAAAAAGTGTCTCAAAGACAACCTACTGACCAGAAACTGAGGAAGAGAAGATGGCCTGATTGCCCATGCTTGACTAGAATATCCCCAATCTTCTTTAGAAAATGATTTGGGAGAGGTGAGGAAAAAACCTTAGCATATTATCTTCATATGAATGGTTGGTTTTGAAAATCTAAATGACAGCCCTTATAGATTCTTGAACAAGAGAGAGAATAGCATGTAGAAGTATGTAAAAGACTTTCAGATTTTAAACTGAAGCTTCATTTAGGAATTTTTTATTTAGAATTCTTTATTTAGAAATAAAACGACTTGTTCTAATTCAAGGGTATGAAAATAAAAAATGAAGATATATCTAAGGGCATTTATATTTAGAAAATACTGAGCCCATAGTTTATTTGAAACACTGTTTATCTATTTCTTGTTAGAAGTCAATTCACCATTCATGTTTCCCTAAAAAGTTTGATATGCTTACTTTGCTTTGAATTTTAGATTTATATAGTGTCCAAAAGCAACCATTATGTTTGAAGAAATTAGCCCTATTGATATAATCTAGGAATTTTGTTGTTGCTGTAATACTACCAGTAGAACAGGGAAGCACAAATATTATGGAATATGAAGGTTAAGTAGGAATGAAATATTAAAATGAGTAATGTTAGCCAAGTCCTGCATATCTTTGTGTGCCCTGGAATCAGGTGCTTGCTGAGGTTCACATGGAGGAGTTGACACCAAGTGACACAGTGGGAAGAGGACACCTCCCTGCCTGTCACAGAAGGTTGGGTGCGTTAGGCAACTATACACTTGACTCTCTTAGAAAATCAGATTTTTAGCCATAGAAATGTACAGCTTCTTAGTAAATAAGAATTAACAAAAAAGATAACCAACATAACGTTGTAGTAATGGCCATCGCAATGTGACTGATTTATGTATAAAGAAGTGCCAAGGAGTGCAGGAAACTGCAGATTGTACCACAAAACAAGACCGAATAAAGGGTGATGTCCATTGGATAAAATCATGGATTTAAACTCTGAAATATTCTGAAATATAATTATGCGGTTTTCGGAAAAATGAAACTCTTAGGAACCCTTTGTAATGTATTTTAATATGTACTTTCTGCTACATGGCTTTGCGTGTGTAAGTTTCTCTACTTGAGGACAAAGTCCAATATTCTGTCTCCCCCAACCCTTGTTGCCCTCGCTCTCTTGCTCTGTCTTTTTTGTTTTGCTTTTGAAACAGAGCCTCACTGTGTGGTTCAGGTTGACCTTAAATTCACTGGGTAGCCCAGAAACCTATGGCGATTCTCCTGCCTCAGCTTCCCTAGTACTGAGATTACAGGTGTGTGCCACCACCTATAACTCAATACTCTGTTTTTTAATATATTCTGAGTTGTCCAGGTTGAGCGTGTTGTCCAGTAATATATATTCTTCTCTAAATGTTGGACTTCTTCCTGTGAAGATAAAAGAATATCTGATATCACCAGATCTTTTAACTATCTAAGGGGTAAACTGTTATGATCACTAAGCATGGTGAACATTGAAATTAATGTGGTATGGGAAGTAATAAATATAAAAAACAAAATACCTTCTGTACTTGGAATTTTATGATATATTCCGAGATAAATCTAATTTTTTAACAAAAGAGGCAATATGCGATGGTATAATAGTAACAAATGAAGTACTGATTCGGGACTTCCGGATGGATGAGATTAATTTAGAAATATAAATAGAAGTGGAGTAGATGAAAGAATGGGAGGAATTGCTGTCCACTTGAGCTGTTTATTATGCAGAAGGTAGTGCTTGGGGCAAAGTTCACAGCAACTCCTCGGAGAACCCTGTTTATTGTTTCACTTGTTGGTTGGGGAGCACTTGCTGCCTCTTCCCTTTCAGCTTGTCTAAGAGCACACTGACCTGACTGATTACTTCATATTAAGCCCACATTCTTGGAATGTTCTTCAGGATAATCGTGTTTGTAATCCCAATAGCACAAGGCAATGCAACCTATTCCAAGACAACATTGCTATTTCAAGGACATCATCTTTCTTGAATTAGGTGATGATGCTCTCCCCTCTGAAATGGGGCACATGCACCTCAACTTCAGAGCTGCCCATCTTGGACCACGTCTGGGATAGCGTACACTGATGGGCATCTGTAACTTCGGGTCTTTTTCAAGTCATACGAACTCAGGCTTTAGTTGTAGCTACTCCTGCAACTAAAGGAGGTTGAGAACTACAATGAACAGTTTTCTGTGACCAGAAGGCTGATATAAATAAAGTCTATCATTATTTTAATGCCTCGCTTTTCCTTCTCCTAAAGGGGAAAAGGAAAGGAAATAATCACACCCCTAGGCACTTACCGGTTATGAGGGTATGATGGTGTGTGAGGGTTCGTGTTCCCGCCCATCCTACATCTCTCATTTACTTCGCTGTGTTTCCAGATGACTAAGAATGGCACAGTGGAGTCAGAAGAAGCTAGCGCCCTCACGGTGGATGACATTTCTGATGATGATATTGATTTAGACAACACAGAAGTAGACGAGTACTTCTTCCTGCAACCCCTGCCAACGAAAAAGCGAAGAGCGCTGCTGAGAGCCTCTGGAGTTAAAAAGATTGATGTGGAAGAGAAGCACGAGCTGCGAGCCATCCGCCTGTCGCGGGAGGACTGTGGCTGTGACTGCAGAGTGTTCTGCGATCCAGAAACATGTACTTGCAGCCTGGCAGGCATTAAGTGTCAGGTAAGGCTTGGACTTCAGGCCATCCAAAGACGAAGCATTATCTACCACCCCCGAAGTAGCTGTGCTGTGTATACCGTAATGAGCGCCTCACACGAAGAAGACTGCGGCGAGGTAGTTCAGGGGGAGAAAAACACTAACTCAAGCATTCATATAGTGCTCATACTTGGGAGATACACTGTGAAAAGCAGCCCAAACGGCAGCTGAGATAATTGAAAGAATTTCGTGTTGTATTCATTTGCCACACCAGCTTATTTTGGCTTTTCACAAATACTTAGGCAGACTTTGACGTCCCTAATATTTGAATTTATGTTTTCTGATCCTTCCACCATGTATAGAGTGATGCTACCTAGAAGTAGTGTGGGATAGTGATAAATCTGCTAAGGTGGGTCCTAAAAAAGAAAAAGAAAATTAAATTGCACTCCTCCTCACCCAGTATATATGAACTTGGCCAATCAAGTAAATCCCTTGGGCTCAGTTTCTTCATCCTGAAAATGAACAGGCTATATGAAATTAGGTCAAGAATTGGCAAACTGTCAACTCACAGACCATACCAAGACAGTCACAAGTTTTTATAAGCAAAGTTTATTGGAGCACTGCCATTTTGTTTGTTTGTTTACCAAATATCTACGACTGATTTTATGTTTCTGCAGGAGAGCTGAGTAGTAGTAACACAGAGACTGCATAACCCACAAAACCTAAAATATTTACATTTGCCTTTTAAAAAGGCAAACTGTCAACTCACAGACCATACCAAGACAGTCACAAGTTTTTATAAGCAAAGTTTATTGGAGCACTGCCATTTTGTTTGTTTGTTTACCAAATATCTACGACTGATTTTATGTTTCTGCAGGAGAGCTGAGTAGTAGTAACACAGAGACTGCATAACCCACAAAACCTAAAATATTTACATTTGCCTTTTAAAAAAAAATCTTCATGGCTTTCATCTGTCTGATTGTGGCAGTAATGATTGATTACAGGAATGCAGGAAGGAAATATAATTTTTTGCAACTTGGCAGTGGCCTTGTAAACAGTGAAAAGTCTGTTTTTCTAAAAAAAAATCTAATACTTGAGTTTATATGAGAAGTGTTAGAAAATAGCCCTACCACTTTATATGGTTAATTATGCTTTTAGAAGGTTAGAAATTAAATATAATTAAGAGAAAATAGAATTGTGCCAACCCTTGTACTAGATCAGTCTGTTTTTTCCATCTATAATATATTATTGATGTTATGGTTAGTTAGGTGCTGTTATTTTACACAGAAATAGCTTTTTCAACAAAGAGAATAATTCAGGTCAAAGAAGAGGATAGTTCCCATGAGCCACGCAGTTGCTTAAGATTGGTTCACAGAAAAGAGATATGTTCATAAGGAAATAGGTACAGAGTCTAGCTCTGAAGTCTACTGCTACCTTTTATCGAGACCAAGATAACTATTAGAGTTGGCCTTCTCTTCTGTAGCATAGCAGTGTCCCTGTGCTTGGATAAGGTGGGAAGTGTGGCAAGGTTTCTGTGTTGCCTGTACTCTGATTTGCATACAAGTTCATCTGTGGAGTCTGAGACATTTAGCAAATGTCTTATGAGTACCCATGGAATGCCTAGAATTCCACTTAGCACCTGAGTGAAGAGGTCAGTCCAACAATACTTTTTTGAACACAATTTCTCTATCTCTAGAGCCCAGTCCCTCAAATTGTTGTGGAATATTAATAAGATGGACATTCTCTTCCTTTGAGAAGCTTGTAGTCTAATGGAATGGGAGAGAGCCAGGACCTACACATGTGAGTCCACTAGTCACAGACATAAATGTGCACATCTGCTGCCCCGCAGGACACACCCATGCACCCATGGACCATGGACCATGGACCAGAGATTGAGAAAGTAAACCAATGAGAGGGGATTGTTAGGGTGCATGACACCAAGGGCTGTCAGTCTCAGCATTGTGGGCAATGAAGTGCATTTTATAAGCAAAGGGAGAAAGCATTGCTCACATGGAAAACATAAATTAGATTCAGTGCAAGTAAGAAGGAATACAGAAAACTGTTTGTTTAAAATTGGTCAGGTAAGCTGAAAAGCACCAGAAGGGAAAGAAGTTTGGGGAAAAGAGAAGCACTGAAAACACGTGAGCAGGATCAAAGACACAGAGAAGGTAAAAATAGGCAGTGGAGAACAGAAGTGACGAAAGTACTGGAAAAGTAAGGCTACCCGTTTATCCCCCATACGTATTTTTATTTTGAATATGGGTTTAAGAGCTAGTTAACTCATGACTTAAGCCTTCACTTCCCCCTTTTCATTTCTGTTTCTCTTTGATTGTCATTTGCTCTGACATAAGTGGAGTAAGTGGATTACTTAATTCAAAGGAGTTGTTGAAAGGTACTGGATTTTTATTTGGTTTACAGTAGTTCCGTGGTGCTAATCTGTGTTCTTCCTCCCCAGGTGGATCGGATGTCTTTCCCCTGTGGCTGCACTAAAGAAGGGTGTAGTAACACAGCAGGTAGAATTGAATTTAATCCTATCCGTGTCCGGACTCACTTTTTGCACACAATAATGAAACTCGAACTGGAGAAAAACCGAGAGCAGCAAATCCCCACACTGAACAGCTGCCATGGGGAGATAAGCGCACACAGTAGTTCCGTGGGCCCTGCCACTCACTCCGTAGAATATTCCATCGCAGACAGTTTTGAGATTGAAACTGAGCCCCAAGCTGCAGTGCTGCACCTGCAGTCTGCTGAGGAATTAGACTGCCAAGGAGAGGAGGATGAAGAGGAGGAGGACGGGAGCAGCTTTTGCAGTGGAGTCACCGATTCTAGCACGCAGAGCTTGGCACCTAGTGAGTCGGATGAGGAGGAAGAGGAGGAAGAGGAAGAGGAAGAAGAGGAGGATGATGAGGATAAAAGAGACAGCTTTGTGGAAGGTTTGGGCACGCATGCTGATGTGGTGCCTCTTCCTTCAGTCCTTTGTTATTCCGATGGCACTGCTGTCCATGAAAGCCACACAAAAAATGCTTCTTTTTATGCCAACTCTTCAACTCTCTACTACCAAATAGATAGCCACATTCCAGGAACACCTAGCCAGATCTCTGAGAATTATTCCGAAAGAGATACTGTCAAGAATGGTACCCTTTCATTGGTGCCTTACACCATGACCCCAGAGCAATTCGTTGACTATGCCCGACAAGCAGAAGAGGCCTATGGTGCCTCCCATTACACAGCTGCCAACCCCTCTGTGATTGTTTGCTGCTCTTCTTCCGAAAATGATAGTGGAGTGCCCTGCAGTAGTTTATATCCTGAACACAGGTCTAGTCATCCTCAAGTGGAATTTCACTCATACTTGAAAGGTCCTTCCCAGGAAGGGTTTGTTTCCACATTGAATGGTGACAGTCACATTTCGGAGCATCCTGCTGAAAATCCTTTGAGCCTTGCAGAAAAGAGCAGATTACACGAAGAGTGCATCAAATCACCTGTGGTTGAGACTATTCCTGTTTAATAGCTTAAATTATTCTGTTATAGGACCAACTCTTCTATTTAAGGCACTGCATTTAATTGGATTTCCTGGGCTCATCATTGTTTAAACAGAAGACCGAAAAAATTTGGACTGTGATTAATCTTCCAGACTGTATTTTGTTTTCTCCTTTTTAGCTACATGACTGTGGCATTGCACGAATACAGTCACTATTGGGGGATTTTAAAAGATTTCAGACTGTTTTGATAGAAAATGCTACATTTTAAAGATGCATATCTCACAGTTGCCTACCTGTCAAACTGTGTGAAACCTGCCAAGCTGTGCAGATCAGAGCTCCACGTTTTGGATTATCGGGCCTGTGCAAGATTGTTAATTAAAACTGCAAAATAATAAGAATTAGAGTCCTAATTTTCAATATATCTGAAGATGATGGTGACTTTTTAATGTAAAAGTAATTATTGTAAGAAAAAGATTTAATTGTTTCATGTGTATTTTATTTATGGTAGCTTAGAAGTCATGTTTTGATGAAAATGAACAGCAGCATGTTCATGCAAGCTGAAGATGCAGAGTGAGGACCACAGAGCATGCCCACATGGATTTCATCTGGAATCCACTCATGTTTTTACAATCCTGACTGTTCAGGTTTGCAAATACTTTCTTAAGGGTGAAATAGGCCTATTTTTGCTATTTTGGACAAATAAATGAGTCTATATGTGCAGGTCCTTACCCAGTTTTTGCTAGAGTTAAGAGTTAGGACAATCCTCCAGGGAGGGTCCAGTGAATTGCCCTCCCTCAGCTGACTTCCAAGGTGGAGGTAGAAGGAATTGCCTTTCTTTTTAAATAGCATCATCTTGGTTCTTAGTCTGGACAGCACCTTTAAACTCTACCCCCTACATCAAAATGCACTTTAGTGCCCCTTCACGGTACCTCGTGTGGGGTGGGGACTGAGAACTCTTTGAGATGAAAAACTTTTAAAATTAAAAAAAAAGATCTGAAACTATTCTAAGGTTCATACATACAGTTAACATAGAGGAATCATCCAGTGACACTTGTGAAGGAAAAGTGACATGTTTTCCTTCACCACTTAGAGGACCTAACTCAGTAAACAAACGCAAGGAGGCTGCGGCAACACGAAAGAGACATTCTCAGCAAGCAGCCTTTTCTGCAACGTGATCGGTCCATCTCTACAAATAAATGTATAATGACATTTCCACTTAGTGACAAGCTGATTGAAGGGTGGCCTCTACCAAAATACTCTTCTAGGCCTTACTTTTCTGAAGCATTTTGATTTGTCTTGCCTGGGACAATTAGCAGAACAGTCCAGAATGCATTGCATACTCTAATTACCTCATGTTCTCTTATTAAAGAGAGCAGATAGAAATAAAACATGCACTCTCCACCTTTAGATTACCTGCACTTAGTTCACCAGAGGACTTCTAAGAACCCTTTTTCCTGTAAATTAATTTAGCTAACAAAATAGTGTGTTCTACTTTCCACCTTGCCAATTGCAATATGACTATGCTAAATCTGTTTCACATTTTTGACCTCTTGTTATATCATTTCACATGTTTTATGACTATTTGAAATGTGTACATGCCTTGCTATTGAGTGATTGCATCGCTACTTATTTTTTATGTCTTTTAGATTTGGGTATTTAGAAATACAGATATAAATATATTGTACATCTCAGTTCCTTAAAAATTCTATGTTATTTGATTGAATTTTTTAAAAATGTTAGATTTGGAGAAAGTCCTCCAATGGAAAAGTTTCTAGTAGAACTTGATGTGGAGAAAACATGCTTCCTTGGCAGCTCTTCCATGGTGTAGTTGGTTCTTGCCCCTTTTCCCCCATCTCTGGGCCAAGGTTGTAACCATTAATATTCACATGAAAGAAGCTTTGGATTCGTCAAGGTGTAGGCAGCGGTAATGAGGTCAGGAATGTTCCATTTTAATGATTAGCCAAGGAACCTTACAATTACAGGTTTTAGTGCTTGATCTCCAGGATTGTTTTTACTCTCTCTTACCAATACAATGTAAAGAGCACAGGCACAAAGAAAAAAATAACAAGAGGTTATTGGCTCTTCACTTAAGCATATGCAAAAAAATCATGTGTTCCTCATTTGCTGGGCTACTACAGGTTCTGGAAGAAGCTACATATGAAGAGCTCTAAGGTTATTCATGGAACACAGGGTGTGGGAGATAAGGGGCAGAGCTAACTGGCTAGAGTAAAGTTGAAAGGTAATATGCCAGTCCACTTTCTGAATAGATAGACATTTTAATTTTAGTTCAGCTTTTTGTTTTTCTCAAGATGGTGACTTTTTTATATCTTGGGATGCCACTGTTCATTCTGTGGTTTTGTTTACAAAAGGATACTGACAAAACTGAGCTTTGTTGCCTCTATCTGTCTGTAATTGGGTGACAAAGATAATGCCTTACTAAGTATTAGCCATCCAACCGTAAGAACTTCTGTTTTAAATTTTCATAGACCTAAGTAAACCTTCAACATCTCCTACAAATAAATACACAGGATGCCCATGAAAAAACCCTCGAGTATAACTGTACCTAAACCACACACACACATACACACACACACACGCACGCACGCACGCATGCACGCACGCACACACACACCAAGCACATGCATACAAGAATACCACAAACTTGACAATGACAGACATTAGGCAATATCCATTAATTAACGAATTGTCCTACTCTAAAATTTGGTCTGGTTTTATGATCTAAAAATATGGTCTAGACAAAAGGATAATTTTTAAAGCTGTAGTTTGAAAATATTGGGTCAGTACTGCAAATAATGCTAGTGATGGAATCATTTTGTTGTGACTTCCTTTCCCAGAAGAACTGAGAGAGCATAGTGTTCCATCTGAATTTTCCTGTTAATAGCCCTCCACTCAACAAAAATTGCCCACATTCCAGGAAAGTGCTACAGTTATTCTAAGCTTGAAAAAGGAGGAATCAAACTAGATGCAGCCTGTTGCGAAACTTAAAATCTTTGTACCAAGATACAATAATCTGGCCTGCGGCTGTTGTATCAACCCCATCGACCCTATCCTATATCCAACCAAATTAGTCTTTTTTGACCCACAGCTTTTTAGTCATTCGTTGTCAATTGCAAAGTTTGATGCTCCCCACCCCGTTGTTTTTAGCATCAGCCTTATATCTTTAAAGGAGAGTTCATTCCCAGGTATAACCCTGGCCAAATCGATTTGCTAGTCAAGTGAATGGAGTAGCTTGCCTCTCCTTCGTCTCTCTTGACCTCCTTCTCATCTTTTGAACATCAGTTACTAAGAGATAGGTAAAATCTATTTGTTGCATGTATTTTGGTTCATTGCACTATATGTGTAGTTATTTTTGGAAGGCCTATCTTTTCTTTGGGATGAAATTCCATGTTTTCCCTGGTGTCTGCCACAAATAAAATGTGAAATTAATATTTATTCAGATGATAAAATCTTCTCAATCTTCTATGGCACACAATACCCATCCCCTCATCTCCCCTGCCAAAAACAACTGAGTAATAGAAACAGATTAATCGAGAAACAAAGACATTATGTTAAATGATTGTTTTCTTTAAAATTTTAAACTGTGACAAATGACTTCTAGACAAAAATCTTCAAGTTTTCTTTAAACAAAAAAGTCATAATTTATATCCTAATAATTGTTATATTACTGGTTCTTTAATATTTGATATTGTTAGCCAAGTTTATGATTCTTTGATCTCAATATTCAGAATTAAGAGTTGAGGATTAAGCTCAGTGGCACTTTGCCTGCTGTATAAGTGCAAGGCCCTAAGTTCGATCCCCAGTACCAAAAAAAAAAAAAAAAAAAAAAAAT